GATTTGTTTACATTTCCAATTCAATTTCAATTAAATTTTATTTGTTATAGCGCCAATTCATAATCAGAAGTATCTCAGGACCTTCAAATAGATCAGGTCTAGACCAAACTCCTTTGTTATCATGTTGTCATAATGGTAACATTAACATCCTCTCATTCTCAACTGTGCAGATAATCCACACATATATTATCATTTATCCATGAAATCAGGTGAATGTTACCTGTGAAACGAGCAGCTGACCGGTGTTGAGCTCCTTCTCCGTGGCCTCCATCCTGCACTTGTTCTCTGTCAGGTTGACCTCCAGCTGTTTGCTGCGGTTCACCAGAGATTTCACCTCCGACTTCATCTTACTGACGTAGAGACGAGCTGTGGTGAACTCCTCTTCCATCACTCCACTCGTCTCGGTCATCTGAAGAGAGAGAGAGAGTTTTACTCTCCAGCTCTCCGTTCAGCTCTATGGATGGGTTCTTATTGGTTGACAGAATTCACATCACTATAGTTGAACCTGGCACAAAAATGTTAAACATTTAAACATTTGCTAAAATGTATTTTCTGCTGTTCATTATCATTAATTATAGAAAACTAAATATCTTTGGGTATTAATGAACCTGAATTACATTTTGGACTATGGGAAGTGATGATTCATTACTTTTAATTTATTTATATGAATTCAATGTAATTTCATTAATCAATAATGAAACTGATTGTCATTATGTAGACATGTAAATGAGTGTTAGAGTATGATTAGGGAAATGTGAACAGTTTCAGTCTTACAGCTTTGAGGTCGGTGGTACCAAGAACGCTGCCAATCTCACTGAGGTCTCTGAGCAGCAGACTGAGGATCTCTGCTGACCTCTTCTTATGATGAGAACTGATCTCCTGCAGCGTCAACAACTCCCTCTGAACCGCCTCCAGATTCACCTGCAAAGAAAAGAACAAGAGCTGACCATTACAAAATATACACAGCTCAGACAGAGAAAGAGAATGCCAACATCAACGTCATGTCCCAATGTCCTACCATCCTAATGTCCTAACATCCCACTATGCTACCATCCTACCATCCTAATACTGTACCATCCTACCATCCTAATGTCCTAACATCCCACTATGCTACTATCCTACCACCCTATTATCCTACTATTGAACTATCCTGCCATCCTACCATCCTACTATCCTACTATCCTACCATCCTACCATCCTACCATCCTAATGTCCTAACATCCCACTATGCTATCCTCCTGCCATCCTATTATTCTACTATCCTACCATTCTACCATTTTACCAGCCGACCATCCTGAATCTTGTTTCTTTATGTGGACTCACAGTTTTGTTGGCAAGCTCCTCGTTCAGCTGTTCATTGCAGCGGTTTTTGTTCTCCACCTCTTGGCTCTTATGGTCGTAGTTGACGGCAAGCTCCTCCAGCGCCTGCAGCACCTCCTTCACCTCCTCTTTGGCGGAGTCACTGTCCCTTTGCAGCCGTGATAATTCGTCCTGTAGACGCTCGTAGTCCTGGCGGCTTGACAGCAACAGCTGGATTATGAAGAGGTGGAGGGATTACGGTTATGCTGACAGATGTTAGATACACAGTGGAGGTTGTAAAGTTCAGGTGAGACTCACCTCGTCCTGATCGATCAGCTGTTGTTTGAATTTCTCGGCTGTCTGACTGTGATGGTTAATCTCATCATCCTAAAACAGGAGTCAGCACATGTGTAATGTTTCACAGACCGGTACAGGTATGACTGAATTTATAATTCAGGCGATATTAGCTAAGACTCACCTTGTCGTCCAGCTGATGGTACAGGTCACTGATGAGAGTCTCGTACTGTGTCTTCTCTTCGTCTGACAGAGGGACAGGAGGTGGGGCCAAGCTGTCAATCACTGCGGTCGTTTCACTGCTGCTGCTTTTTTTGTTTTTGCTGCTCAGCTGCTCCTCCACAGGCACAGACTCACCTGGACAGGTTAAGAAAGGCTAAACAAATATTCCACAGAACTTGGAAACTGAAGCACAGATCAGGGTAGTCTGGAAAAAAACCCAGCGTGCTGCTCTGGCCAGTTTAACACTTGCAAGCTCACATTCCAGGTAGACGACTTTGTACATTTACCTTTCCTCCAGCGTTTCAGCTCATTCTCCAGTTTCTGTACCATGATGTTCAGACTCCTGTTTTTCTCTTTCTCCTTCTCATACTTCTTCTTCCACTCCTCAGCGGTCAGCTCCAGGTTCACAGACACTGTGTTCTTTATGGTTTTAGCTCTAAAACACAAAAACAACACAGGAAGTGGTTCTCACATACACAGACAGTGTACTGTCTGACAGATGAGAGATGGTGGATGGATGAACTGATGTCATAATGTGTGAAGTGAGATGTGATGAAGGTGATTCCTAACAGAAGCAGCAGAAGCACTGACAGCATGGACATTCCCACCATGAGCAAGACCTTGGCGACGGTGGCAAGTAAAAACTTCCTTTAAAGAGGCAGAAACCTTGGACAGACCCTGACTCTAGGTGGAAGGCTGCCTCGACCATAAAACAAACAAAATTACAATAACTAAGTCAAAGGCCAAAAAAGTATAAATCTGTCCCTCTTCAGTCCAACCTGAGATCATTTAGTCAGTTCTTACACTTCTCGCTCCCCAATGGAAATTATTGATGGGGCAACTGGGTACGATGTAATAAAATAACTCCTTAACCAACCATACCCAGTAAAAAGTTTATTTTCATCTGTCATTGAGGAAGATGGTGGAGAAAATTTAAATCTCCCACATGCTAAATAAAGCTGCTCTTTCTGTGGCAAGGCCAAGATGAATAGGAGGGCTGTTGATAGCTGGCACTGTGGATCCTGCAAAAAGACCATGGGTGGAGGTGCCTGGACGTACAACACAACTTCCCCTGTCACAGTCACAAACAGGAGACTGAAGGACCTGAAGGACCTGTAAACCAAGTGCAATGAACACTGGTGGACCATTATTACAGTACAATGACTCACGTCAAAGAAGGAAGCTGTTCCAAGACCTGGAGTGGGTGGAGAAACTGTTTTCACTCTTTACTCAAACTGATAACTGGACAAACATGATGAAATAAAACTGAATATATGTACAGTATTGGACAATACTATAAATAACTGTCAAAGAAACATTAAGAATAGTATGGCAGCAATACGTCTAGACTAACCCAAAGAAGAAGAAGAATGTACTGATTGTGAAGCCTGTTGCATGCTGTGTGGGCGTACTGACACTGATGAGTTTTACTGCATTGGTATTGAAATGTTGTAATTAGTTTTTATATTTGGTAGTATCCACACATTATGGTCGGTGTCATAAAAGTATCAAAGTTTGGTACCCAGTCCTACCTGCGTCCTGCAGGGTGAATGCATATCAACTACAAAGGTCATAGTAAACCAGTCTGTAGTCATTGAGACATATAGACATGTTGTTAAAGTGTAGGACTGACGGACAAACTTAGAGCTCAGTACCTCTGTCCAAACATGAGGGTGGACTTGGTTTCAGCCTCGTTGTAAACAGACGGAGAGCAGCAGATGATGATGGTGGTTCGACAGTTTCCTCCCAAAGAGTCCTGCAGGATTCGAGTCATCTTACTGTCTCTGTACGGGACGTGGGTTTTCTATGAACACACAACAAATAAGACACAGACAACATCTCATAACAACACAACAGTTTTATTTCTGAGATAACTGAAACTGAGAAACTGAACACTCACCGTTCCTTCACTGAGAGCAGCGATGACGTTCCCGAGAGCAGACAGAGACTTGTTGATGTTCTTGGCTTCATCCAACACGGCGCCTTCTGCTCCTGTTTTACTCACCTGAACAACAACATCATCATCATCATCATCATCCCTACCCCAAATCCCATCCCCAACCCCTAACGCAGCCTCTCTGTGGTTTGTTTCCATAGCCGGTCTGCTCCGACTGAAACTGCTGTTTTTATCATCTACGTTGGTGAATTAAGGATTTATTTCCACCAAACCAGAGTTGGTGATTGTTGGAAACACTAACAGAGACGCTTTAATGAGTTTTATTCTGTTTCTTGAAGTTACGATGATCTGAAAGCTTTAAAAATGTGTGTTTGTGTCTCTGGAAGTCTGTGGGAGGATGGAATTAGTTGATATGTGATAGTGATATTACGGCTGTTTGTGGTTAAACTAAAGGTCTATCTCTGTAGGGATCCTTTCCATAATGCTGTCAGACACTGAGAATGAATTTGGGTACATTTATTTAATAAAGTATATGGCAGCTGCTCTTTTCTCCTTTAGATGAATGGTTCAGGAGAGCTGGCCTGCCTCTGATACAAAACACAATCAACTTCATAATATAAAATAATATTTATATTCATGTATAGACTCATAAAGAATAATAAGACTTCACTATACAGGAATAAATGAAATATCAAATATCAGGAAACACAATTTCCTAAATGAAGTGAGTTGAACAGGAGCTGCTGTAACAGAGATTTGATGAGAAATGTGTTGTTGGTGTCTCACACACACACACACACACACACACAGAGTGAGTGTTTTTAACATGCAGAGTTCATGAGTGCGCTAATTGAAAGCCATTATGGGCCACATTATCATACTGTCACACTGCAGGGACGCAGCTCTTGCTCTCAACTAAACTCTCAAACCGGCACCGAGTCCAGAATCAGCGTTTACTCTGTTTACAGCGTGTTCAAACAGCTGTCAGACACAAACCAGCTCCAGCGCCTCGCATCTGACGGTCGGAGGCCCTCACAAATATTGCATAAGACAATATTTACCCAAAAAACACAGGATGTCCAAGAATGCATGAGATGAGATGATGCAAGCGTCTTCGTTCTGTTCAATATTCTTCACACAATCCGGAGCGTGTTTATCAAAGAAATGACTGATCATAATATCAGCCTTATTGGTCTCAACAGAAATGCCACAACCATCTTGCAGATTACTCCTTGATGAGGAAAATGCAATTAAAACGTCAAGTGCGTTTTATTAGATTCTACCCACCCTGCAGGGTTTTAGCAGCCCCGGGAGTCCCTGGATGCTCGGGCGATGGATGGCACATATAGAGCTGCGAGCAACATTAGCAGAGCGCTGCCAAAATAACAGCCGCTCGCTCCCCGATGATCCGCCTTTCATCAGCATACAATGCTGAACGCAGGAGTACTGCTGTCTGCAGGCTCATATGGAGGCTTTATATAGACTCTATACATGCTGCTCACTGTCATTATCTGACTCCATTATGGAAGAACATGGTTCAACTGTATGTTGGATGTCTAAATTTCTGCCTGCAGGCTGCAAACAGCTTATTTCTGTAACCTCTGTCTGCACACTATGACTCACTAAGCTGTCTTTGTTGTCTTATTGTCCAGGTTGAAACAACAAACAATGAATCTGCCTCGTTAAGTTGGTGCATCACAGTAAACATGGAACTATGAATAACAACAATATAAATATGAAAAGAGAAACAATAAAACTGTTATTTAGATAAATGAATGAGGAGTTCACAGTGAGACTATAATGATTTTAGTGTGAGGGGCATTAATGTAATATTCAGGTTGTGTTTAAGAGTTGTTACTGTTTGATCATTTCTATGAATATATTCGGAAATATTTAACTAATAATTACATAAATGTGCATTTTAAAGTAAATATTAAGGTTGTATGAAACCAGTAAAATGTGTCAGTATCTGTATTCGTTGTGACCACAGCTGGAAATACTAACAGTCAGTCAGTTTTAGTGAGTTTTCCACTTTGAAATCAGTTTCTGATGATCTGATTGGACTCTTTGTTTTGGTGCTTCAGTGCGACATCTAGTGGCCACTGAATTTGGCAACTTTTATAAAAAAAAACCTGTTCTGTTATTATGTTTCTAATAAATATGGCAACTTCTGATTATTTTAGGCTTAAATTAACAACATTAATATTAGTCCCGCCCACTTATGCTTTAAGCCCCGCCCGTTCTGAGTGCGGCTACAAACAGATAATTAAGTTGAACAGATACAGGTAACGGTGGACTCGCTCAGTGTCTCCCATTAATCACCTGGACTCAGCAGCCACTGTAGTTTCATAACGGACTGAAAGTATTTTTACATTTCTCTGTAACTTTGTGCTTCAGAGCGTCTCTCAGTACAAATATCAGAGTTTATTTCACCAGCTCAACCAGATAAAGACATTTTATTTAACCAGATGAGTCAGATTCAGAACCAGTTCTGGTTTACAATGATGGCCTCAAAGGGCAGCAACAGGATACAACAGGAACACAAACAGCTAATGCAGACAGAATGAGAACAATATGTACAGGATGTTCAGAGATCAGAGTTACATCAGTGATTGAAGGAGGTTGATGGAATAAGCAGTTGGTGCAGGAGAGCAGTGTGTCAGTGTGCCAGTGTGTCTGGAAGGAGAGAGAGCTGCTGGTTACCTCGTTGTTATCCATCCTTATGTTTGGCCACGTCATTAATGAGCCTCCTCCGCACGCCGCCGCTGATGTTCAATCAGGTGAAAAAGTTAAAAGTTAAACCTCCATCCTGTAGCAAACAGCCTCTGACTGCAGAGACGGACGGAGTTAACCAACCTGATGTCTTTCACCTGAGCAGGTTCCTCACTGTCTCCACCTTTAGTCTGAGTTCACATCCACTCATGATGATGAACAGATCTACCCGTAATGAAAACAGAGCGAACAGAAACCAGATGTGTTACAGCGTCTGATGAACGCTGTTACAGCGTCGTTCATATACTCAAACAGGTGTGCCGGCTCTCACAGTTAGACAGTGTTAAAGATGATTATCTCGTCTCTCAGTCAAAGTTCAGTTACAACTCTGACCTGCTGCAAGATGGAAACCATTGACTATTGATTAAATATTGACTTTAAAGGTTAAATAATTGGGCATTCTGGGTAATATGGACGCACATCTCAGTAAATAAAGACCCTATATAACATTGTGAGGACCAGCCATCAGGCAGCAGAGCCAAAGCTGTTAATATGTTAATATTCTATAGAAAATATTCTAATCAATAAATATTTATGGCTCTATTTAGGTGCGACTGAGATGGAGGATTGTACTGGGAGCACTGCGGTGTCTCCTCTCAGTGATCCATTCAGACATTTTAATTTCACTTTTCCTCCTGTTAACGACCCGTTCGGAGTTTCTGTGAGAGAAACATCGCAGTTTCGAGTTTAAACAGATCTTTAACCGACATTTTATACACTCGCTACCTGAGCCGTTAAGGTCAAATATGACTCACCTGAAGCGTCTTAATCCGCACACAAAGCGTTTAATGAAGAGCATTTTTCTTCCAAGACGCCACCAAATATCATTTTTAATGTTTCTGTCGGGGCTTAATTCCACATTAATTACTGTGTTTGGGTGGATGCAGCGTCATGACCTTTAAAACCAGAGTTTGTTTGGTTTCAGTTGATAAGATGACGCTGACAGTGGAGCCGGCAGAAAAACACAAATAAAAAAAGGAGAATAGATCTTTTTAATGGAGTTTAACAATCGGTCTCTGGTGGACTCATTAGGATGACCAGTTTGACTTATTTTACAGCCACTGGTAATTAGTATCCGCAGGAGTTATAGCTATAATCAGCCAAGTTTTCCCTTTGACTTTCTCTCCGTTAGCCATTAACTTTGGTGTTATACTTGCTCCAGGAAGGCGGTCAAATGTGTAAAAAAAGACAGCAGCCGTAAAACTAATAAAACTGTAGGGTTCCTTCTGGGGAACTTTAATACTTCCAGCGATATGATAATTCTTTTTACTTCAAAGCAGCCGTTAAAAAAAGGACAATTTTCACTGCCTTTCAGCGCCGTGACGGAGCCGTGGAGGCCTCGTTGGACCTGACGGAGCGCCACTGTGATAAATAATAAACATCAACAGCACGAGACACACGGACTCTACAAACAAATAACAACAAATCATTTCAATCAGAGAAAACTTTATTACCAATATTGCTCCTTACAGATGCTATTAACAAGTCAAGAGCTATGTTCTATATGGAGCTGATCAATAATCAATAATCAGAAGCTGTCACACACTGACTG